ATGATACTTCCCAAAAGTTTTATTTTTGTACAAATATATAATATGGAGAAAACATGGTATGGATTTATTATCTGATGTGAAGCAAGCTACCAAACTGTAGGTAATTCGATGAAAAATATCCAATAGGTTGTTGCAGATTGTTTTGTTTTTAAGTGTGACTCGTTATGGAATATGTTAAGGTATATTTTTACTACAATGCCTAACACCCATCCTAGGCATAACTCTGGATCTTGAGTTGTTCTTGTTTTATTTTTGAGTTAGTGGGCTGATAAATAGTAATACCATTAAAAATTCATATGTAATTCTTGAACCATGGACCACCTCCCTTGAAGACACGTGCAGTTGCCACGGTTTCCTGTTCTAAAGCAAGGGCCAACAAACCACCCCTTTGCAGTTCCAACAAGATAGTGCATTTTTTTTTTTGACGGCAAATATATTGCGTGATCTTCATGCTGTCTTGCTAGAATATATATGGTACCATTACAAGTTTTTGGATTATTGCCGGTGAATCTTTTATGATAAATATATTCAGTTTCTGGTAATCTTTTTCTGGGGTTAATAATATTTTGAATGTTCTTTGAGGTCATTAGCTTTCTCTTTCTTAGTGTAATCCTCATTTTAAGATTTACCCAGATCTCACTGACAAATAAACTACCATATGATGTATAATCTGGCAAGACAGAGTTTAACCAGGTTTTATTTACAGAAAAGTGCTGGAAGGTCAAATAGAGAAAACTGTTAATAAGAATGAATAGATAAACAAAACAAGATGTGTAAACACGTTTTAGTTACATAGCTTTATCAAGATTGTGTGTATTGAATATTCAGAAATTAACAGTTTCTGCTACATCTCTTTGCCTTGTAAAGTTGTTTATTCTCATATACATCCTTTCTGCAATGGCATGTAAGCTCTGTGTTTCCTCTCTCTGTAAACGACCTAATCCCTTCACAACCTCATGCAGGTATGATGGCGACATTAGCAACGAGACCACCTTGAGAGCAGCCGTTGAGGGAAGTGAAGGTGGACCCAAGAGTGTTTCGTACACAAAGCTCGTTGCTTGGATCACCTCAGAGTTGCGCGTCTTGGCCAAGCTAGAGGAGATGGTGAATGCCACGACATCCCCAGAGGAGCACTCATCCTTCCTTATGGAGCTCTCTGCGTTTCTCAAGGAATTAGGCAAGTTTCTCTCTCTCTCTCTCTCTCTCTCTCTCTCTCTCTCTCTCTCTCTCTCTCTCTCTCTCTCTCTCTCTCTCTCTCTCTCTCTCTCTCTCTCTCTTTTCCCCCCCCTCCTTCCCCACTTCTCTTTCATGTTCTGAATTTGAAGTTTGATGCAGGTTATGTCTGTGGCATCGGTTATGTATTTGTATATTTCTGGAATTTAAGAAATTAGTTAGATTCCCCTGTGAAATAGATTTTTATATAAAGCATATGCTTCAGAGATAGATGTTATGATATGAATATAAGTAATGAATATATGAAGTTAAGAAAATTTTATTTATTAACCCCCTGGATCTGGTTGCAATGGGTTACATAAGTGGCCAGCATCCCGGGTGTGCGCCGCGTAGGCCGGGTGCGCACAAACACCCCTGAGCAGTGACAAGACTGTGCCTCCCCTTTGAGAAGTTATTTTATGAAAACTTTTTTAGCTTTATCGCCATTTTCCAATGTCCATATTTGTCTTTTGATTTGCTTTATCCAGATGGTAATTACTTATTTTCCTTGCACAGACTCCATATCATCTCTCTATGTAGTTAATAGCTCAGTGCAAGAAAAAAATATATGGAACATTTGGTTATTTGTCATAACTCATTTTTGTAAACGTAATACAACTTGCGCTGCCTGTCACTTCGGCCAGGAATACGGTGCGCAGCATGGAAATGGTGTCCTCCCTGGAGCCGGCGCTCTTCCATTCACTGCTTACACAGTTGCATTCCACATTCGTTTATCGATGGGAATAATGCTAAAGCTCCCTTCTAGGCAAAAAATGAGTCAAATCACACTCCAAGAGGTTTGTGCACTCGTGGCGAGTCTTTTCCGTCACCCCGGACTTCGCTCTTGACTTTGTTCACGTCACGTTTATAGCTGCCCAAGTTTTTCCTTGACGTGATCACAATGTTATCCGGATCCAAGGGGTTAAGAAATATTGATTTTTATGCAGAGTAAGTGACTTGCTAAATAGGAGATTAATCTTTTTTTTTTTTTTTTTTTTTTTTTTTTTTTTTTTTAATGGATAATATGTGGAGTTGAATAACAGAAAATAGAAATAATGATAATTTCTTATTCTTGTAGGATGCCCTCATACACAACTGACCGAAGGCCCTGTCAGCCAGCGATTGACATCCACAGAAACACGGCTTCTGTTGCTGGATTTCCTTCTAGCCGAACTTATGGCAGCTCGTATGTTGTCCAGTGCCACCCCAGAGCAAGGCATGACAGTGGAAATGGTATGATTGTTTTCTGATATTATTTTACTGTATGAATCTGGAGGTGACAAATTGAAATATATTAAAAGGATGCTATGTATTAAATAGGATAGAATTTTGACTCTTATGTGGTATTAAAAGCCTTAAAATTATCTGAAGCCTGATCATACCCTGGCAGTATGAAAGATATTTTTCAGATAGTATTCCTTACAATATCTGTAAATAATAGAAGTATAAAAGAATGATCAGTTTACTTCAACCTGAACTTCCAGCGTGAGAGTGAACATGCAAGGGACCTGAAGGCTTTGCTGATTGCTCTCGGCTTTCCCAAACCCCCAGCCAACATCACTCCACAGCAGCTTTTTATGAAAGTTGAACAGAAGGTTTGTCTATTCGGGTTTTATTTCAAGCTTAAGTCAAAGCTCTTCCATTGTTTATTCTTATATATTACTTACAGGAAAATGTGGTTTGATTTTTTTTTTTTTTTTTTTTTTTTCCAATTTAATTTCCCTTGCTGCTTTCCTTAGGTAAATGATGTGAAGAGTAAAGCCCACCCATCTCTCATTGGTAAACCATTGTTTAATGGAACTCTGTCAGACAAGCAGTGGGCTCTGTTGGACGAGATGCAGAAAGAAATGCAGTCAGAATACCAGATGAGACGCGAGATGTTGATCAAGCGTCTTGATGTCACTGTGCAGTCTTTCCAGGTCTGTTTTCATATTGGGTTGTATCATAAAGGATCCAGTATTGGAAATGTTTTTACTTATTTTAATTTTCTATGCATATCAGTCGTCTTTTACATACCAAAGCTTATAGTTACAACTAAACAAACCTAAGTTAGTTTGTAATACAGTTATATATGAATGTAAGACTTTCATCCAAAGAAAAGTCCCTATATCCTAATACCTGTTAGTTCTATTCATTATATCTATATGTAATGTTTTCCTTCTTTGAATAGCATGTGATTGACCAATAAATACACAACAGAATTAATATACATAATTATAAAGAAAAAATAATCTATTCCTGGAAGGATATGCAGGTAAGAAATACAATGTTAGTTGATGTTCTATTTCTAGTGGTCCAACAAAGCCAAAATGCGAGAAAATGACTTGGTGAAAGCGTTCCGATCCCGAAGAGACCAGCTGACAGAAATCCCGAGTGTGTCTGTAGGGGACATGCTTGCAGCTAGGGAAGACTTGGCAGTCTTAGAGAAGACCAGCAATGCATCCGTGCGCAAGGCTACTAAAACACCCCTGAATAAGGTAGGTATCCTGACTGGGGTACAAGGATGTCAATATTTTTCCATTTCATGTTGATTTTGTTTCTTCAATTTTTCATGTTTATATGATAGATGTCAGTTGTATTAGTCTCCCAAGTACTACCACAAAGCCAGTTCCCTTCCAATTGCATCTGCTTCATAGCATAAGAGGCAAGAGACTTTTAACAATCTATTTATTTAATTGACTATTTCTGTACCTGAAGATAGTCATTACCTTAACCCTGTCATCTACACAGGTCCTGATAGGAAAGGTTCCAGATCGAGGTGGCCGAGCGCACGAGCTGGAGCCTCCCCCGCCTGAGATGCCATCTTGGTCGCAGAGGCAACCAGGAGGAGGTAAGAGCTTTGTTGTCTGTTTAACGTTTGGGGATTTTAGGGTTAACCATTTTTATTGCAGTGTTATATTTTTATATTTTTGTGTTTTCTTTTTTTATATTTTTAAACATTTTAACAGGTTTTATGTTGCTGTTGTAGGAAAGAAAATAAAGGGAAAAGAAGTCTGTTGTCAAGGTCTGCACTACTGGTCTCAAAGGAATATTAGTAGTGGTTAAATTCACCAACCCTATGTATACTGATCTTTACAGATTTTTTCTTTGTTTTTTTCATGTTTGGGGAAAAGGAGTTTGATATCTTTCTTTTTCTTTTTTGGTGTGTGCATCTTTCTTTCTTTCTTTTTCTTTTTTTTATAGAAAGTTAAGTATTACTGACTGTATAATTTGATGGTAATGTCACTATTCAAAGTGCACAAGTGATTTCTCTTATAGTTTGTGTTTGAAGCTATATCAAAAACTTGATATTTTGTGTATTTTGTGTATATATCCAGTTCGGCTGATGAGGCCATACTCTTCATTTATGGAAAACCTTTGAGTGGAATAAGTATTTTCCATGTAAGCTTCCATTATTGATAATGGACATGTCTTTGTACATCTTTTTTGAGAAAATGGATTATGATTATAGATTACATCTATAGTATATGGATACAGTAGCACTGTATGCTCTAGTATTGTTTTGCAAGCATTTACATATTCTCTTTAAATGTAATGATACATTTGATATGTATCTTACAGGAGGTCAGGGTGGGAGTAGTAGTTCTCAGCAAGGTGAGCCTTGTGGTGTGATTTGCAGCCCCCCTCTTATCCTTATTTATTGATATTGTTAATGAATATTTTTTATGTCCCTTCTCCTTCTTGGTATTTTCCTTTTTTGGCCTCCATTTACTCCTCCTTTTCCAGTTGCATTAAAGCCACCTTTATTTCAAATTTTGTCACTGTATGCTGAATGAATGCATGCAAAAAAAAAAATCCCTTTAAGAGATCTTGCTATTCAGAACTTTTATTGAATTATGAAGTTGTGTAGAACTTTCAACCTCTGCAAGTCTAGTATAGCTGTTGTGAAGAGATACATTAAAAATGGTTTTCTAAAGCAGAACAGTTACAGAAAATAAAGCTTTGAGTGATATTACAAGATTGTCCCATCTCTTGTGAACATGTGTTGTGACTTGATGACATGATTTACAGGTGGTTCAGGTGGATTTGGAGGTGGTCAACAAGGTGAGCATTGCTATCCCTCCACCTTCCACTTTCCCATTCCACATGTCATTAAAACCCAGTTTTTTTTTATTTCTTTCTTCCTTTTTTATTATTACAATAGACTAGATAATTTTAAGTTCATTAAAAAGCATTTTATGTGAATTTTACTGTATTGTAACTGTGCATTTTTACAATTAACCTCAGTGTGACCTTAATAATGCATTCAGCATGGGAATCCTATGATGACATGTTTTAAACTTGCAGTGTCTCAGATGGGATGATGATAAGGCATTGTGATTGTCTTGATGATGGATAGAATAAAGAGGCTTAGGATGCTCAAAAAATATCACTTGATTGAGCTTCATAGTGCGTGAATGACATTTTCCAATATGTCACTCCTGCAGGTGGTTCAGGTGGCTATGGAGGTGGTCAGCAAGGTGAGCTTTATGGACTTTCTGCCACCTGCTTTCCATTTTCTTTTTGATATTTTGAACTTATTTGTTTTCTTCTTCCTTTTTTGTTTGATTTGATGTTTTCTTTTTTTATTATGAAGTTTTCACTAGATTTTTTTTTTTTTTTTACCATAGTTTTTCCCCCCAGATTTTTTTAAATATCCTTTTTAGAAATTGAGTGTTAATTGGTGTTGTTTTTTTCCTGCAGTTTAAACATAGAGAAGTTTGGATACATGTGAAAGTAGCAGTTAAACCATACTTTTTGTTGAAAGAGAAAAAGAAAAAATGGATATCATAGTATAATTTTCTTCCTTTGGAATTAATCTGTTGAAGAGAATCATACCTTTATTAAATGGCTGGTGTGTTCTGCTCAACAGGTAGTCAGGGAGGCTATAGTAGTGGTCAGCAAGGTAAGCCTTGTGTACCAACAAGTTAAGTGACCTTTTTTGCCCAACCCTTCAGAGTGTATAGAAGTTTGGGGGTCTTGCTAGTATCCATGGCATGGATTGATTGATTTTTATTATTATTATTATTAATATTATTATTATTATTATTATTATTATATATTTATTATTTTTTTAAGGGGGACCCATTAGATTATTCTATATTATTTGTGTACTGATACATATATAAGGCAGCTGAAATGGCCCTTTGAGAATTATTTTTAACTATGGTAATGCTGAAACAACTTGTATAATGTTTGATTTCTGAATGACTATAATGCTTTCTTATGATACCTTGGTTTTGCTTTGCCTTTCATTATATTTTGATTTAGATGATTAATATTGCTGTCATTTTTACTTGATTATTGTTCATAATAAAAAATGAAGACCAATGTGATAACTCACATCAGTACTTTGTGAGCATATATTTGTCTCTGGCATTGCTGTATATTTGATTTTAATAGATATTAGGTTGGATATTTGCAAAGAAAATTCATGTCTTCCACTTTCAAAAAGGCTTAAAATATTTAAAATTGTAGGTGACTCGGAAAAGAAACATTGATATTTGCATTGATCAAAAGAGATTAGATATGTTGATATATCCAGGTTGATACACCAGTTAATTTTATTATTTTACATTTACACTTTTTACAAATTACTAGAAGTGGATGGACATGCATTACGAAGAAATAACAAGCCAGATATATATTTAGGATTATTGGGAAAAGAACATTCTGGCAGGGAAAGGAAAATACAAGGAGTACGAGATTATGTACAAGAATTAAGCTTTCTTGTAAAGTCAATGTGGCATGTAATGATTTTAGATCAGTGACAGTAAGAATGGACTCCTTTGCATCTGGAAAGAAATTTTAAATTCTTTATATCTAAGCATATATTGTTTTATTATTATTGTGTATGCATATATGAGGAGACATGTTTTGATTTATATCATTTTTGCTCTGCTCGATTACTGAAATTAACATTTTAAAGTGTGTTAATATCTGTGACAGGACTTCATGCATTTATTTGGCCGCTGATATGATTCTCCATTCTTTTCTTGGAGTATCTTTTGTGCTAATTATACTTGTGTCCCACAGGCTTTCAGGGAGGCTTTGGAGGCCAAGGTGAGCCTTCTCGGAATATTTCAGTCATTTTAGGAAGCTGTGTTTGGTGGTTGTGGGAGTTGTGTGGATGTGGATAGGTATGTGTAGGGGTACCTGTGCTTAGGTGTACACGAACAGTGACCATTGTGACAAGTGTAGAAAAGATATGAATGTAAATGAATATCTTGCCCTACATATCCATTTGACTGCTTTAACTGTATCTTCTTCAGAAATACATGTATTTTTGATGGAGATGTAATCAAAATCAGATAGATGCATTCACCTTTTGAAGATATTCCTTTTCATTCAGTGTTTGTATGTGTACCTTTTAGTATAAGAAAAAGATGAATGTTGTGGGTAGGAATGAAGATAAACACCACATTTAATTGGAATAGGAAGTATGTAGGGAATCATATAACATTTTTAAAGAGAATATATACTTTAACCCATAAAGTACACACCTCTTAATCTGACACATCAGTAGACAATCATTTCTGTCAATTTTAATTTGTACAAGAGAGGGTCATGTTTTTAGAATTTACAAATTAAAAATCTATAGTATCAAAGACTTAGAAAACATTGCACACAGTATCTTTAAGCATGTTTGAATGTGAGGTTAAGCAAAAAGTGTATCACTTTCACTTTTAAGTTAGTTGTAGAAGGATTGAGGAAAAATGAAGCTTTATAGGGAAAGATGCATAGTAAAATATATAGTTTTTTCACATGCAAGCCCACCAAAAAAGAATAAACAGAATATATTGTGTGTTCTATATTATGCCCAACAGGTGGTCAAGGTGGATATGGTGGTGGTGGACAGCAAGGTGAGCCTTGTATTGCTGTTCTGTTATTTTGAACATTTAACAAACAAGGCTTTTTTTTAAGTGATAGGCTTTGAGTGCGAACTAGTGTCAGAACCATAACTGGGCATGTTAACAGCGAATTGTGAATGGATTGTATTTTTCTGTGCAAGAATTTGTAGTAAGGTATTTCAGAGAATTTTGGAGGGGAGGTTATGAAAATATATGGATGATTGTCTAATGGGATACAGTCAGACATATCACCAAGAGAGGAACAATATTGATGCTTTTATATTTTGATTCTATACATAGTTTTGAGGGGCATGAAAACCTAGTCAAGTGAAGAAGGCGAATGTTGAGATTGATCGCTTGATGCAGAAAATGCTGTGCTTTCTTATTAAACCACTTAAGTCATTCCTAACAAAAACTCCATAATCCTACCAGCAAAATAATATATAGGCCCACCCAAAGAAAAAATTGAATATTTCATATACATTTATTGTGTGCTATGATATATTCTGCAGGTGGTCAAGGTGGTTATGGTGGTGGTGGTGGTGGACAGCAAGGTGAGCCCTGTAACCCTTCTCTGTCTGTCTTTGTCTGTCTGTCTCTACCTATCCATCTCTGTCCATCTATACATGCCTCTTCTTTCCATCCCATTGTCTCTCCTTTTTTTTCCTCATTTACATTCTCTCATTGTCTTCCTCCTTCCCTTCACCTTAGATATGGGCCAAATTCAATTGAATGAAACAGATGTGAATAGACTGTGAATGCAAGGAACCTGACAGTCTGAATTGTTAAACCTGCCTCAAACTTTGGCCTTCACTGTCCACTAGATATGAATTCATACAGGGTGTAGATCATGTGTGGGAAAGTTTATACAGGGAAATTTATGCAGTAGACGGGAAACTAAGAACAGTTTGTGTGATCACCAAGACCAAACCCTAAACCAGTATGTCACAGAATTGTATATAGGTGTTTGTGAAGTTGTACTATCATGTCTTGTAGTTAAATTTGAAAATCCAGCCATGGAAACTTTAACACTTTCAAAGAAATGCATATAAATTGCTTTGCAATTTGAATAAAGCAACTGCTTAAATATAATCATGTGGGTTTTGAAATACATTATAGTTCCAGTAACTTGCTCATTAGAAAAGAAAAGAAAAAAAAAAATCAAATGTGCCACTACTCAGAATGTGTTGTAATATATCTTGCAGGTGGTCAAGGTGGCTATGGTGGTGGTGGCCAACAAGGTGAGCCATGCATTTCAGTGTGATGTGTGACCCTTTTTTTCTACTTTTGAAACTAGGTAGAAGGCAAAGAACAGTGTTAAACCCTTTATTCAATCCATTTGAACCTTTGTAACCTGGTTTATGATACGAAAAGGGTTTATTGTCAGGCATTGCAGTGTATGATTAATATTAGATTAATTTCTTTTGCAGATTTGATTTGAATTTTTTTTAAGGGTTGATCATTACAACTAACTTAAATGTTATCTCTGTGTTTGTGTGTGCTTGCAATTGTTGAAAATTCTCTGCTTGCAATAGAAACTCCATTTTAGCTCCATAATATTTCTCTGAAAATCACTTACCTTTCCATATAATACCTCATAATTTTAACTCGATGTTATGTCTGTCATGCAGGCTTTCAGGGAGGCTTTGGAGGTCAAGGTGAGCCTGGAGTACTTGTTCCATCTTGTTTATTTGCAATTTACCTGGAATTACATGGACAGTCAATTCAACATTCACAATTCAGGGTATTGATTATTAATTGTCTCAAGGTATCATCAGATAATGGAATTGGAGTGACATTGGAAGAGTTTGCCAGGAGTTTACTTTCTATACAGTAACATCTTCACACATTTCAAGACTATTAGAGTAATTCTAAGAGGAAAACTCTCAGAATCTGAATGAAGAAAATGAGTCTCATAAGAGAAGGACACAGGGCAGATTAAAGGAATATTAATTAAGTATATACTATAATATATCCTGCAGGTGTTCAGGTTGGCTATAGTGGTGCTCAGCAAGGTGAGCAACATGTTCTGCTTTGCTGTCCTGTATAAAACCTGTTGAAACAACCCTTTGCAATAAGGCTGTCAAGTTATAGGCTTCTGAGCAGTCTCATTTTTAAGGCTATAAAAGCTGTTGCAGAGCATAGAATTTGCATTTTTTTGACGGAAATTACACACTTGCTCATCTTTTATTAAACCAATCGCCTTGATGACGTCCTGTGACACCCTGTCATGTCATGGAAACCCCCCCCTCCCCCTCACACTTAGATGTCTTTGTGCCATGTGTAGTCAAACTTGCTCAAAGTTGTGCACACAAAACAGTTGAGATTGTATGGCCCTGGCTGTGTTTGTTCTTTGAAAGTAGGCTTAAAGCCTCTTTTTACTATCATCAGAATCATATGTACTGCAATTAAGAGTAGAAAGAGCAGGGTGATTTTAGGTTTCCCATATTTCTGCATTTTCCCTCGAGCAACTGATTCCACATGACCCTCGACATATTGTTCGGTATGGCACTCGGGGATTCCATCATCCTTAGTTTAAGTTAATGGATTTGCAGTGCCTTAATGATATCCTTTCATATTAATATGACTGACTTAAGGACTATTAGAACTGTCAAATGCTAAAGCACTACCCCCTTCTCCCATTAGGTGAAGATGCACTTGATGGGTTGAGGGTAATTATTTGATTCTTGGCAGGGTGGTGGTGACGAGAATTTGAAAGGAAATAATGATATCTAGACATTTTCCATTCATTCAGTAGTCCCCAGCCCCTCTTTTACATATTTGGCTTAATTTTCATGATTTTATTATATATATTTTAAATGGAATGTCATTTTTGTTGCAGATTACTTAATTCAGCAATATTTGCAAATCTGTTAGCTGCTATCCCTTTTAACAATAAGATTTAGATATATTAGCTGTGATTAACTCTTCTAACATAGATGTTTTCTTCTTTCGCATTTTAAAATATCACTAATAATCCTAATATATCCTTGTCATGCTCCTAAATAAAATCGTCAAGAAATTGAATTCCAGTTTACTTTGCATTTTGCCAAAGATTACGCAGAGATAGACTAGCTTAGAAAAAAATATAAATGCCTTGAGCTTTCATCCTTGCCTTTGACATCATTGTCTGGATTACCAAAAAGAGAACATACGTATGTGTATAGGTGAATATAGCAAATAGCAAATTTTTTAAGGTTGTAGGAATAATGTGAATGACTATTATCCTACAGGCTATCAGGGAGGATATGGGGGTGGACAGCAAGGTGAGAATGATAGCCCAAGCACCTTCAGAATGAAGGAAAATAATTACCCTTCGTATAAGGAAATAAGAGTTTTTGACACTCTTATTGCTTGCATGCTTGAGGCGGCAGAGCATGGTGAAAAAGACTTGGAATTTTTATTTTTATAATTGTTGCTATAGTTCTCATCATCATATTAGTTTTTACCTGTTTTTGTTTATTTTTGTTCTTCGTGTGCTAAGTACATATTTGGTATTTTGATGCTTGTGAAAATGTTTAATGGGTAGTGTTTAAACTTTTTTTTTTTTTTTTTCTTCTTCTTCTTCTTTTCTTTTCAGGTTCTTATCCTTGTGTTATTGTTTGAGATGGAAATAGTCTTTACATTTCACAAAGATATATCAACAGGTTTTTTTTATAATACCCTAAATGGAAGTTCCATAAGGAAAAATACGTAGTCTCTGACTGGACTTTTATAATTTGTAGTTGCTTGTTCTATTGCTTGGATAATTATTTTATATAATGATGGACTTCATCTATGTTTGTAGTTTTAGTTTAAAGTCATTTTTGGTTATAATTTGTGTAAAGCTGTTTTAGTGAATCTTAACCCATTGGCACATGGAATAAGTAATGTCCATTATAGTTTGTTTGTTTTTTCTTTCTTTTTTCCGCATAGATACCTCCACAAGTGCATATCCACCAGAGTTAATTAATAGGTCTACTTTATCTCTGTAGCAATGAAAAAAATATATATATTTCTAAAAATCAGTGAAAAGGGTATACAGGTGAGATAGGTAGGACTAGCAATTAACTTGTTGACTTGTGGAGCTACCTGTGTATAAATAGAATTGAATAGACTGAAATTTGTCAAGTTGGTTTGACTTTTTATTTTATTTTTATGGTTGTGTTATCTCTTTTAACAATTGTTATGTAGTAATGTGCCCGACTTTTTTCTTTCTTTCTTTTCTTCTCTTCTCTCTCATTTCTTTCTTTCTCACTTTTTCTTCTTTAACTTTGTATTTTATTTGTTCCCTGACAGAAGCAGGTACCCAAGAATCAAAGAGAGGTTCGTGAGGCCAATTATATCAGATTCTCAGTTTGGCTCTTATAATTAACAATTTGTTTTATGAAGTCTAATAGCATATACTTAAAGATAATGGAGGTGTATGTTTGTGTGTTTTTTTGTTTTTTTTGCCAAACTTATAGAACCCAATTAATTATCCTTTTATTATATGTGTATATCAAAGTGGAATTTGAAATTTTGGTTTATTTCTATGGATTTGATGCATTATGGTCATGTGTCTAACATTAGTGTTAAATGAGTGAAGTTTTGTGCCCTTTGTTTTACCCAATTGTATTTTATGATTTTTTGCTTAGGTTGCTGAGAGCCTTTCCTGTGCATGAATATAACTTTCCTGTGATACAAGTTGCGAGTTTGCAGGATTCTGACTAGTGTGCATTGCCGTTTCCTTTCAAATATATGTTAACAGTGTAAAGAGCCTTCTGTATATTACTCTATGAATAATTGAAACTGTCTTGCCTCATTGGATCTGTTTACATTGCAAATTAAGTTTTGACATGCTTGTAATTTTAATATATTTTCTTCTTTCCTTGAAGGTGGCTATGGAGGACGAGGAGGTGGCCGCGGAGGGCGTGGTGGTGGAGGTGGAAGTGGCTTCTCCTCAGGAGGCGATCGAGTCCAAGGTGGCTGGAACCAGGGCGGAGGATACAACCGTGGCGGCGGAGGCTACGACAACCGAGGAGGCGGCGGAGGCTATGACAACCGAGGTGGCGGCGGAGGCTATGATAACAGGGGAGGGGGTGGTGGATATGATAACAGGGGAGGTGGTGGAGGCTACGATAATCGGGGTAGCTATGACAATCGTGGTGGTGGTGGCTACCGAGGCGGTGGCCATGGTGGCTATGATAATAGGGGTTATGACAACAGAGGCAGGGGCCGAGGGAGGGGGGGAAGAGGAGGTAATAGGTACTAGGCTAACACTTCTAAGACTTCATTTAAGGACCGTTGATAAAAAGTTTTCACCATTGGCTGACCTGGAAAAAAATGTGAATGTATATCCTAGCATGTATCTATTTAAAAAGCATATTCGACAACAGATGAACAAATTAGGATTTAATCAGAGCAATACTGTTCATTCTCCCAGATTTCTTTTGAAAGCTTTTTGTCAAAGACACTGAACCATGAACAAAATGTCTTCCTGTAGTCATCAAAAAGAGAGAAGCATTTTTTGTTCAATTTTTTTTTATTATTTTTTTTTTCCCCCATTGGCCCCAAGTAATTTTAGACACAGAAAATGTCTAAAAAGAATGGCCTCCCTCCCCTGTTTTTTTGTTTTTGTTTTTTTTACTTTTTTTTTCCCCCACCTCTTCTGTCATTATCACCACCATTGATAATTTGTATCAAATGAAGGAAAAGTGTGTTTTTGATGATAACATCAATAATTTGTTTGTGTATGGGAATAGTGCATGGTTGCACTATTGTTACTATTGATATGTTGTTTTGTATGAGCTTAACCAGTGAAAATAACACAATGGAAGACAGGTGTATTCTGATTTTGTAACATGATGAAAGTCAGTGGTGAACTTTGGTAAGAAAGCCAATATCAGTTAGGTATTTATAACAGTATATAGATAAGATACATGTAAGATTACCGGTGATTTGCTTTCCACTTTGTTGACTTTTTTTTGTGACACCGAAGGCTAAATTAACATTGAAGAAATTAATTACGATTTAAAGTTTGACTCAAAGGCAAAGAATTGAAGAAATATGTTTATTGCACTATTATCCAGTGCCAAATTGTCGAGGCTAGCATGCATGCCGTTAAAACTAATGCTGTGAATTTGCTTATTTAATTTTTTTTACAACTTTTTGTTAAGTCTGTTATTATTTTTCTTAAAATCATTGCTTTGAATCATACCAGCTATTTTTGCATTGAAAGTGGCACAAATTTATTTTCATTACACTTCTGTATATTATATATGAAAGCAGTTTCCTTCACTTTTTGTATGCAAAGCAGATTCTGGAAAGAAAAGGGAAGGGACATGCTAAAAAGAAAGTCTTCAGCTTTTTACATGTGTACACAAAAGAATACAGTCTTGCATTTTCATCGCAGCTGGTTTTTGCTTCTGTCCAACAGTAATATATTAATATTTGTAAAATGTAGTCATACCTTCCCTCAGATAAAAAAATGACATCATATTCAAGAGTACTCCAACATCCGTCTTGTAGCTGCATTCAAATACAGTATGTTCTTTTTAAGCAGATATTGCTTACCAAGGCTGCTTTGGAACCCTTAAGTGTGTGTAATAAAAATGATAATAGAAATATACCAAAGAAATTTTGTTTTATATCCTCAACATTACCTACAGATCCAATTATCAAATGCTTGGGCAGTTCGTAGTGGGACATGGTTAAAGTGTGTGAAAATGGGCATGTAATGAAAATATTTAGCATTTTAGACTTGGTGGCAAAGTATTACACATAGATTGACAAAATGTTAAATACTAGGTAAATACTTGGCTCTGCTTGAACTTCTGTGGCAAGTAATTTGTTCCTTGGTATTCAGTGTGAAACGTGGTGGTTATCTCGTCTGTTAAATATTATTAGGATATTGATTAAAATCTTTGAAGCCATAAGTTGCCTCGTTTATATTTTAACTCAATGCTGATGGGTTGGTATGTTTGTACATACAATACCCACTAAGAATTTAGTTTCTTGTTTATACATGGATGACTTTACAAGTACTTAGTTGCAAAGGAATCAATAACTGATCCTCCCTATTTCACCGGTTAACTCTTCCTTATTATCAGAAAAAAGTTTGAATTTATATAAATATTGTTGATAACATTTCACCTTAATATCAATTAAATTAATTATAAAAGCATTAGGAAATAAATCCTGTAAATTCAGGGAAAGCAGAAATCATATGCTTGCAAACTGATTCCTTGGTGGCAAAGCACTTGTAAAACCATCTATCTATTCACTAATATTGGATTAGGAGAGCCATTTATATTGCATTAGATAAGATTATTCTCTGTTCAGGCCAGCAGCCACATGTAGAGGTGCTAAACAATGGGAAACTGCTTGTTTATCAAACAGTATCCTATATAGATATCCACTAGTGCCCAGTGGTTATGCCCACTCATGTGAACAGTTGTTTAGAATAACTTCAAAAATTTTTGTGCCATAAACCTTTGTTTACAGCATTTCTGTATACTTATTAATCCTTCTACAGGTAATGGTTAATGTTTAAAAAGTAAATATGTGTGCAAGACATCAAAGATCATATATAGGAAGGTTTAGTATCAAAAAGGGTAAAGGAAGGTGAATTATTAAATGTGCCACACTTCAAAAAATTTGCAGCAGTTTAGGATAGTATGATACTGAAATGGGTAAAAAGGATAAGTAAATGAGGCAAGGCAGGGATTAGTAGGAGAAGAATGTGAGAAAGAAGATGGATGGCAGTCCCTTTTGAGTGTAGAGGGAACGGGAGCAGAGAGATGAGGATGGATGAGGGATAATGTTTTTTGGGGTCATGATTATAAGATTTTAATGTCTTAAGACTTTCTGAAAGGGAGTTCTGTGGGGAGTTTGAGAAGCAAAGGTTTTCTTATGAGGGGTAGAAGAGGGGACAGACATCTAAGGAGGAAGAGGTAGATGTATGAAAAAATGGGGTGGGATATTTTGTCATAAAATAGGTAGAGCAAGGAGGAGGGGTAGGCACTGGGGAAGTGGTAGAGATTGGAGTGTCTGGATTTGTAAAGGCAAAGGAAATTGACTGGGAGAGGAGGGGAGGAGAAGAGACGAAGAGATGCAGAAACATCTTGGAAAGGGGGAGAGGAATAGCAAAGGACAGCACTGGAGTAGGGATCAAGAGAAAAACCTAGACTGCATGCTTCTTGCCAAGTTTGAATCTGAGCACTGCTACCTGCCTCAAATTGCATGTGGGACAACCCCTATAAAGTACATGTGTGCACTGCACTGATCAGTTTGAACCATTATGACTAAGTTGGGCAGATGGAGGGCAGTGGGCTGTGGAGCAACAGTGCTTGGCAGGGTGGCCAAAACACCAACATTCTGATATTGACGGAAAGAGTCCACCAATGTCAACTTCATGGGGGAGGTCATGTCTACAGAAGGAAATCTTGGCAATTGACTTTGTAGGAGTTTGGTGGCCTCTGGATGGAATAGGTAGCACTGTACTGATATTACATCATAGTCAATAAGGCCAGCAAGCAGGTCGTCTTCACAGTCTGACCAATCTTTATTGCAGACAGGGCAATTAGCCAGGGAAATGGAAGCAGTTCCAGTACAAGTATTAAGAAGACTATGGCTGGGCAGGATTAGGTTTGCCAGTGAGGTCAGTCAGGGTGGATAACGTACGTGCTTGGGACTCGGATGTAACTGACAAGGCATGAACTTATCAACTTGTTTTTGGAGACTTTGTTGGAAGAGGAAGGTATTATCGGAGTAAGGAGCTGTAGGAGAATTAAAAAATCAATCCCAATTTGCTGGGCTAAAAAAAAATAGGACTCAGAAGAATTGTAGGGGTGGAAGTAATAGAAGGGCAAGGGCATGAGGAAGAAAGGGTAATACTGTAGAGAGGTGGACAGTAATGATGAAGAGCAGTAATAAGGGAGGAAGGGGGTTGAAAATGAAGAAGATCGGAGGATGAGATGAAGTGGATGATGTTGGGAGAAAAGAAAGTTTTCTGAAGACTGGATATTGACCTGGATGGGTGAATGGACTGAACTGACAGGAGGTATCAAGGAAAAACTTCAAAGGATAGCCAGGGGTTGGGGAACTGCAAAGTTTAAAGTTAGAAGGGCTAATTGATAAATAGGCAAGCCTCAATGTCCCTAATAAGAAAATACAAAATTATTATTGGCCATGGTAATCCTGGATTATATAAAGAAGAAAAACAATTTACCCCTTAGTCCCCATGAGGAGTAAGGGCTAGATAACTCAACAAGAATACCTTGCCCATGGCCCCCTCACGCCATTCTGAACTAACCCAAAGGTAGCCTTTTATTTTTTCAACATGGCACTTACATTTTAGGAAGAGGAGAGGAGTAGGGTTTGGATAAGAACAGGAAAAGGAAAGAAAGAAGAAGAAAAGACCTTGCAAAATTAGTTGAGCCGAGGGCTGAGGCCTTAGATAGGGGATATCTCTAATATTGGCCTTGGTCTTCATCTCCTTTCTCCCCCACACAACACAAGGGGCATGGGATTTAGAGGATCTTTCTACGGATAATGATAACGGATTTACTAAATTATGAAAAGGTATTGTAGAAAGGATAACTATAAAACAAAAATATGTGATTTATTTACTTTTATATTCTGTCACATAACAAATATCTAAATTTGAAAATGTAAAAAAGACTGGATACTCTGCTTGTAAGCAGTTAGAATTACATGACACCAGTTTTGAAATCAAAAAAAGATAAAAATAATATCTGGCTATTTGTATATATTATGTTTATAAGGCTCTATCAACTTTATTTGATTTAAAATGTGTATTTCATAAAGTTTACACAAAATGATATTCAAAATAAATTCCTTTATCAAATAATAGAAATGTCTAAACCACAAATAACTCTAAATATGTTTTCCTTGTTATTATTTTTCTTTAGATTGTATTCCACATAAAAAAAATATATTATAAAAGGAAATGCACAATACAAAAGCTTTAAAACGGAAAAATGAAGCACATGCAACTCAAAAACATGAATATACCTGATATATATACCTATCACATTCCTGTACAAATCTCCTAAAAATAAAACATAAATGAAAAAGAAGGAAAATTAAACACAATTTATCATATAAAAGTTGAAGTGTTATTGTCATTTCTTGATCATACATAAATTTTGATAACAAAATATACTGGAAATACTCATTCAGTTCTATAAGATATGTTAATGGTTTCATCTTTTAGCTATCATGCTATTCCAGGAAATAATCATGAGAAAGGATCAATCAATTTTGCACATTCCATGTTGCCTCGACAAACCACTTACTGCACTGAAATAACACAAAGATACTCTACTGTTATTTTTGTTCTATCCTAACCCAAACACTTAATAAATCATTTCCAAATATATT